CGAATACTGCCCTTGTCACACTTATTGACAAGAACAAAGGAAAGACGTTCCGGTCCTGGCTATAAGCATAAGTCACCTCACTCCCGTCTGGAGAGCTTCATTTTGTTCGTCATCTTAAGACACCATTATTCCCTTGAGACTGACAACGGCACTGTGCAAAGAAGGCTGGAGTGTAAGGTATCAGACGTGTTGATATAGTTGACTTGAAGCTACCTCTAGGAGGCTGTAAGCTTTCAACTGGGCTATACTACACATCCTTGTCCTCAAGGGCTGTCCCGGCTTTAGAAAGACCGGCATGCTTTCTTTTTGTCGGTTTTCTCTTTTCATTTTTCTTTGTCTTTTAGGTTCCCTTCATTCCTCCCTCTTCCCGTAACTTGATTCCATTCTGATTGTTCCTTCCGGTAACGTGTTCCGTTGAAGAGTCCTGGGCGGTTCTTTGGTTGTGTTCGGATCCCGCCTCACAGTTGTTGGAGGTAACGGAATGATACACCACAAGTGGCATTGAGTGTGGGAGTGAATTTCGTGTATTAATTTTTTGGTTAAAAGAGAGAGAGAGAACAGAACAGGGAGGACGGAGTCCGACGTGGTTTATATACAGGGTAGCTATGTGTGGATCGTATCCACTTAGACAGAAACGCCAAAGAATGTGATGGCTTCAACAACAGTGACATTCCATTTGAAGCCATTGAACCCGTGGTCCACCGAAAAGTCCGGCTACTCCTGTCTTTAGAACGATGGTACTCATTCCGTTATTCCACCATGTTCCCCTGGCTCAACACTCTAATAACACTCGCTTACTGCTGGGCATTGTTGCCCTCAACCCCGCCACCTTGGCCATCCTCACTCCCAGCCGCCGCAGCAGCTGGGGTCTTTCTAGCATCATACCTGGCTTTGCACACCGGGCAAAGCCTTGCCGTCTCGCGTTCCATGATCCGGTAATCACCGGAACAGGTGCCGCGGCCCCGGGCAAGACGCTTTAGAATTTCAATCTTCATGGCCGCGGTCATCTTGTTCTTCACATGATCCAGACAGAATCTAGTACGAAGCCCCGCCTTCTAGGCGTGGGCTGTGCACCGGTACTCAAACTGTCCATCAGACCACGTGTGCTTGCAACGCTGGTGTGAGGCATGAAGGACCCTGGCTGCGCTGGCGATGAAGGCCTCGACTTTGGGGTCATCCGGGCTGATGTGGTTCAGCCCCAGAACGTCGGGGTGGTTGGCCTGTGGATGAGGCACAACGGGTGTGTCAAAATATGGATGGGAAACACCGACGCTGGGATGATGAGCAACCGGATTGGCTTGCACAAACCTGACGGACGGGGGGTGGTCTAGAAAACCGCCCGGCTGAGCTGGGCCGCCCTGGAAGCTATTCATAATTGGGGCCGGGACAACTTGCTGGACCGGAATGGGCTGGGCCAATGGCGCTTGATAGTGTTGCTGACTTTGAAACTGGTTGTACTCCTGAGCATGAACCTGCTGAGCGACTCGGTGGTGTTGATGATCCGAATACTGGTTGTACGGCTTAACTTGAACTTGCTGAGCAATATGGTGGTGTTGCTGAGCAAAATACGGGATGTACTGCTGAGCGTGATATTGCTGTGGGCCTTGGTGGTATTGCTGACCTTGATACTGGTTGTACTGGGGTTGAGCATAAACTTGCTGATGAGCCTGATGGTAATTCTCAGCCGGGACACCTGCAGAATTGTTTTGGACGCCTACGTTCACAGGAACGGAATCAAGAGCCATATGCTGGGTGGGTCTTTGGTCGGCTTGCTGATGGCCAGGCGCTCCCGGGATAGTGGGAACTCCATTCTGGCCATATGAATGGTGGTTCTGATGAGCGGGATGAGGATTGTGCGCAGCGACATTGGCATAGCCTTGCTGAGAAGAATGAGTGGAATTCTACATAGAATGTCAGCGGGTGGTACATCTCCTCTCGTCGTCGCTTTGGGGCTACACACCACTTCGCCGAAGTTCAAAGGGACATAGACCGAGCCGTCACCACCGTGGTTCTGCTCTTTGTTCACAGCCATGGGCTGCGTGGGCTGCTTGCGATTATCCTCAGCCATTTTGTGATATTTGGCTTAGGATGTGGTGCTTGTGCTGGATTCCCCTTGTGGTTCACCCCAGAAGGCTGTTTACCCTCCACGGTAGGAGCTCGAATGACCAAAGTCTGCGAACACCGATGGATTTAACTTTTTCAGTGATGTGTGGAAGGAGGGAGAGCTTTGGCGGGGTGTATGCGAGCGAAAATATAAAAAAAATATAAAAAAAAATATAAAAAAAAAATATAAAAAAATCAGATGAGTTGGGGCGTTCAGATGAGTTGGGGCGTACACCTGAAATTAACGCAGTCGAAAATCCATCCACAGATGGTGGCAGGAGGAAGGAGTGGCTGCCTGGCGGCCGAGGGAAAATGAAAGTTGGTGCTTTGTGCACGGACGCGTTGGGCATCCAGAAATCGAAAGTTTCAAGGTCGCTCCCGCCACGCTCCACCGTTACCGTAGCAGGTACCTGCCTTGTTTAGTCCCGTCTAAAGGGGCCGTGCTCCTATGAGTCTCCATGGCTTCCGTGTTGCCGTCTCCGAGTGTCCTAGACAGGGCAACCGAACCCGCAGACACTATCACTTCTCGCATGGATAACGATATATCCCACCACCACAGACAATCATGGCAGTGACATGAGCAGCTTATTGCAATGAAGGTGAGTGCTGAGCACCCCAGAGTGTAAAGCACTTTTAAGGAATGGCTTAAGAGCGACAGGTGGAAGAAAGAACGCCGTGCGTGCTAAGGGAGGAGAAAGAGTTTGAAGCACGACCGGTACTTATCTCGCATTATACAACCCAAAGATTCAGACAATGATGTAGAGAATGATAACAAAGACCCTATCTTGCTGTTGTCCATCGAACTGGAGCTACCTATCTCTAGAGTTGTGCAAAGTTCAAACAATGGCTTCGAGTCAAACAAAGAAAATCAATGTAGAAGAACCAAGACTAAGAGATTGTCAAGAACTCCGACATGGACATCTACTTATATCAAAGACACAAGAACCACAATACTGCAAAAGAAAAGCATTTGTTCATAGAATGAAACGAGAGTGTGCCGAAGGACCTACGAGACATTATTTGCGTTTTATCACATGTCAGAGAATGATTTGAGAGCGATGGTGACCAAATATGAATTCACAAGAGCGGAGTGGGAGCAGCAAAAATATATCAAGCGAGTTGGGTCATTGTCAAACAACTATCTGTGATGAAGTTCTATCTGTATCTGGGCTACCATTTCCTTTACCCATAAACCCCTTTTCCTCGCGTTTTCTGTCGATCTTCCATCATATCAAGACCTGCAATGGTTGAGTGGTGGCCTAGTGTCTGGTGTTAAGATCCCTAGCACACAAGTTAGCGTATATCGAAGGCATTGAGGACAGATCAGGGAGTAACTTACAATTTATGATATCTTTGGAGGGCCGGATTCTCCAGTCCGGATGCAACAGAGTCGTCAGCGGACTCGGAGGTCATGATCGAGCTTTCCTCCTGTTCGGATTGCTGGCCAGCTCCCTGGGTGGCGCGGCCGAAGCGCGGTTCTCTTTGCGGACCCTGGCACGCTCATCGCGGATTTCAGCGCATCGGTCGCAGCGTTTTCCAGTTTCCTTGGGCATCCAGGCAAAGTCGGTGGAGCATGTACCGGTACCGAGGGCCTTGCGGCGTAGGATCTCAAGTTCCAACTCCACACCAACCCGGCTCTTCAGGTGGCGGATGCAGAACTTCGCATTCCGCTTCTAGCGGAAGCGATCGCACTGCACGCCATGAACCCTGTGAGTGCAACGGGCATGGCTGCTGTTAAGGAAAGCGGAGGCCGCGTCGAGGGCTTGGCGGAGGTTGTTGATGGTGTGTACAGGCTTGAAGATGTTGGCGACGGCGGGGTGAGTCAAGGCCTCGACGTTTAAAGTCGTGTCCAACTTGACGGGATGACCGAAGACCTCCTCGGCAGTCCTGCCCTGGGCGACATCCTCGTAGTGGATTGGGTCAAAGGGGTCGACGCAATAGGCGGGGGGCGCAATCTCGTTGTCCTGGGGTTGCTGGTGCATGGTATTGTCCTGGGTGCTTCTGTCGATGGGGGTGTTGAAGTCGAACTCGGCCGGGGAGGGGATGGAAGATTGGTTAATGTCGAAGTCGAAGTCGTGATGACCGTTCTCGGCGTCGGAAGTGAAGTGGATGTATCCCTGGATGTAGTTGGGCATGTTGTTGGATGTATTTTCGGACATTGTGATGAAGTCTCAAAGTGGTTTGGTTGAGGTTGGTGATGTGTGGTGGTGTGGTTCGGTGCTTGTGCTTGGTTGACGTTGAGTCGAGGTTGTGGTTTGATGATGGAAGAGGGAAAGAATTTGGTCCGGATGGGGGAGTCCTAGAAGTCTTCTTATGCTATGGGAATGGCGACACTCTGCACCATTAGTCCCCAGGTTCACTGCCTTGCGAACCGAGGGTGAACAGCGATGAACAAATAGATTAGACAACACATAGCCCATCCAGCTCTGAGCCAGCTGCGCCTGTTCACAACCGCACTTCGATACTGTTCAGAAAACTCAAGTATCGGGAGGAACCGACACGCCTACTATACGTCATTCTTTACTCAAGAATCTCCATCAAACTTCTTCGTTTATATGCGCTGTTCATCGGAGTTGAGAAGTGCAGTGAGCTGTGTAAAACGTAGTAGAGTCGGTGGATGAATAGCAAGCCGAGTGACACTCAAGAGCCAGCACACATTCAAGTGTAAGGATATATGTCCAAACTTGATGAGTGAACATGACAGAGGTAGTGAGAAATATGAACAGGGTAGAGGTACCTATGAGAGACATGTCGTTAGCTAACTTGCGGAGGGCTTGTGCCATTTCGCTCAACTGAACGAGTCCATGGATGGTTAACCCCTTCTCAAACCCTGGACGTTTAATTTCCGTGTCGCTCGCTGCTTCATGTTCATCTTTTGCGATTTTGCAACACGTTGAGGTATGGCTATGCTCCCGGTCACTTGGAGACTGTTTGTCAGGGTCGTCTTCCGTGAGCTCCATATACGGTGGTAGGAATCCTTGCCGAGTTCTAGGCGAATTGTCGACTTTGTTGAACGGGCCCTATCGTCATCTCCCAAGTGTTGCATCTTACAAATCGGCGATGAGAAGCGCGTTCCGATAGACGACTAGGCCAGGCCTGGGGAAATCGGAGAGTCAATGAGAAGCTGTGACTATCGCAAAGAGTTGATGAACGGGACGGGGGAAACGGAGAGTAAAAGCAGCGAAAGAACTGGTCATGATCCGATGGACTTGGGCACCGGACTGTGAATGTGTTGCGATTAACCTGTGGTTGCCGAAAAAGAGGAAATATCACCAATTGACCGCTCTGAGGAAAGCGCTATGGCCATGCATGCCCCTGACAGGGGCAGATTGACCGAGCCTCACCACGGACACTCGTCAAAATGGTAATGATTGAATCCCGTAAAATTTCTATCAACTTGATGAGGTAGTGCCCATAGGTCTCGCTCTCACCCCTGAGCCTAGCATTGACTCTTTTCATCATATCGTGTTCCAGCCTTGATGGGAACTTGGAGGTGATATTCTCTACAGTGGTCTGTGCGAGGACACTCCACTGCGTTAACAGCGGGTCTCATAAGGATTGCCCGTGATGTCGCTAAAGGATGTTAGCGTATGGCCACTTATGCACTGTTTAAGGGGGAGTAAACAATCCAGCTGACAGGCTTTCATTTCGTTTTCAGACAGTGCACCCCTAAAAAAAAGAATTTTTATTAACCAAACAGTATCTGCGCAGCTATGAAATTACTGGAACGCATCTCCGAAGACGAAGTCGAATGGTGGGAGCCACCGCAAGAGCCCTACGGTCAGTGAAGAAGATATCACAGGGGATGGTGGTGGGCGCGGAGACTGCGTGCGCTAACAGCGCTTACAGCGTGCGCTAACGATGTTTACACCCAGCGTAGCCCCGTAAGCCCGCTATATGACATGATCCTTGCTAGCTCCAACTTGATGGGCTTTGGTCCAGTTTTCTTCCAACCTATATCGCCGCGAGACACTTCTTTATTAAAAGACCTGCAACGGAATTGGCACTCTACGACGCTCATTTTACGGATCCGAAATATTTGGAGAAGAGATGAACAAAGAGATCACAATTTAACCCAAAGTCCAGCCTTTCACTGAGACACCTGAGCAAAGGACTGTGTGCTTGGAGAACAATGGCCTTGGCGGCGTTGCATCAATCAAAAAAGATGCCACTAGTTGAACATGAACGGAACAATGTTTATAGCTTAGAGTAGCATCGTATCAAGAAGCTTCTGCCTCGTGATCTTTATCTCTCTCAAAGGGTTCGGGCTGGTCAACTGGTGTCAACGATGACGATGTTCTGGGGAAGGGCGCTGGAATGAATGGTAACAACTTCATATTGGTTCTTACTGTGTTTCGATTGTAGACATCATGCTGCTGTTGGACGACGTCGGAGACATCCTGTACGACACTGCTGTGGTACGCTTTGACCAATGATCATGTTACGATATTGATAGATGGCGGTGTTGTGCTGCACTTGGTTGCTGGGCTTGGTGTTGGCCCCTGGATACGGTGTTAGAAGTACGTCGAGGGGACAATACCTCTACGCAGCGACATCATTGTCCTCTTTGAGTGCGGATGTGTTTTGAATTCTTTTGAGAATGAGGGGATGTCTTTGAAGTAGGAAGAGAAGCCAATTAGTCCTATGTTATTTAAATGATTCTCTACCTACCTAAGGTAGCATTCTAAAAACATTTGTCTCCCGCATCACCACATGCGTTCAAATTTTCAGGCGTTGACTCCGGCATGACTCCGCTGGGCACAAAATTAAGTTGGGTAGGTACATCAGCCTGGACGGCAGCGCTCACCACAATTCAATCATGTCAATCAAGGTAACCAATCAACCAAGCAATTACGTGCTCTCGAGAGCTCAATCAAGCAAGTTCGCGAAGGTGGAAAGTTGACTCCCTGATTGATTGATTGACTTATAGTCACATGACCTTTCACGCGACCTTCCAACAATTAGATCAGAGATTTAGCAGTTGTGTCGATTCCCTCGAGACAGGGGGATAGGCTACGCGACTTCCGACGCGACGACAGCCCATCCTCGCACGTAATCCCCAGCTTTGGTTCTACGGTCGGAAAGCCTTCCAATCCATCCAGTTCAATTGCCTAGACTTTATGGCCCTTAGTGTATTTGGCGGGCGTTCTCCGGCCTCCACTATCGCACAGCTGTCCGAGTCATGGTCCTCAAGCGATTCTGGCTGCTTCGACGGCTTCCCGATCGGGAAATGGCGAGGGCGTTGTTTTATCGAGGACGAGCGCCTTTGGAAGGGATCTGTCACAGAATGCACTCGGGCGCCTCTTCCGGGACAAACTATATAAGACCACTTGAGCGACCGAACTGCCAGCTTGGGTTACTTGTATGCTTTTGGAATATAGCCTAGTGGTGTAGTGGTCCGCCAGCGCCGTGACAGTTGTGAAGGAGTGGGAGATCCAAGACCGTATCGGGACGCTTGTTTCCGGTAACGCATCGAGCAACGACACCCGCACTACTGCCTTCTTCCGCCAGATCAACCCCGTCTTTACTAAGACC